TACTGTTTTTGTTATTTATCGTAAAATTGTGAACTGTGTTTTTTTTATGTTCTGGTTCCCACGAAAAGGGATATCCTGTAATGTTCAGAGAACATCGTGAGAACCAAGGGAAGTAAGGTAGGAATTAGTGTTCTTCTTAAATTTCTGGAGGTTATTTGCCTCGGGGAGCACCTCCCTTGGCAATGTGTTCCAGAGCCTCCTGTTCGTTGGATGAACGAGTCTTTGGAATAAGATGTTCTGCAGGTCACCAAAGTGACCACGAAGGGGTGCGAAGCCTCAACTCGACGGATTAATCTCGCGGGAACTGCCAAGGAAGGAACAATTGTTGATATTTCAGAAGAGCATCGTCCATGAAGATATCAATAAAATAGAGCCAGAGCAATAACTTTTCCACGGTGTCCCAGAGAAGTGAGTGGGTTTGTGAGCGAGGCATCACCCACAAAACGAATTGGCCTTTTTTTGGATAGAATCCAACAGTTTCAGGGTATGTTTGGGTGCTGCACTCTGAATATGGGAAAAGTATTCCAGGTCAGGTCGGATCTGTGCCTTATAGATCATAAGCAGCTGACTGGAAGTGGAATAGCTCCTGGCCCGAAACAGAAAGCCAACTTTTTGGGATGCACTTTTAGCAATTGATCTCACATGATTTTCCCAAGAAAGGTTATTACTGATAGTGATCCCGAGCATCGAAATGGATGTCTTCAAAGGTATGGTTATACGCCCAGTAAACACAAGGACATCCAATGGATGTCCAATGGATATCTTCAACGAACATTATGGATATCCTATGGACGTCCTTCAATGGACAAAGGACGTCCAATGGATATCCCATGGATATCCGTTGTCCACCAACTTGGACGTCCATCGGATATCCATTTTCGATCATATATGTACGTATTCTGTACGTGAATTGTACCACAATGGACCAACATTGGACTTTCAATGGACGTTATCTGGACCTATAATGGATATCCATAGGATATTGATTTGTGTACATTTTTTGTACTCAAATTGTACGTACATGGACGAATTTTGGACTTTTATTGGATATTATCTGGATCTCAAATGGATGTTAGTTGGACCAACAATAAGACTGATTCAATGTAAAAATATATTCATGACAATATACAAAATAAGTGTGTCCAACAAAAAGCACGAAAACAAATGATATTATATGAATAAAATTCTCAAAGACAAAAAACTATTGGTCTTCTGTTGATGGTCACTCTTCTCCTTTGCTCTTCTCAGCCATTTCTTTATCACTTCCTCAGTGGCCTATGTATACACTGCAAATAGCTTTTGTCACATGCCCCTACAGAAGAAAATGAAATCAAATATACACCATAAAGAGAATAAGAAACTTCAAAATTTCAGTAACTCAATTCTTCATTAAGAACAAACTTTTGAAAATTTAGAATTATAAGAGATAGATAGAAGTCCTTACCAACCAGTACTTTGGCTATTTTCAGTTTGCTGAAGACTTTCTTCTTCATCATCCCAAATTAATTATAGTTGCGTTTTATTTGTTCCATTCTGGTAGCGGTGGTGCGAACAGAATGACGTTTACAAATAAAACGAGAAACTTCATAACCTTGCTTGAGAGAATTTACATAAGAGGTTATATTTGTATATGGGAGATCCAAATAATTCAAAAAGCATAAAACTAATGTTGAGAATCTTGAAAGTGAATCAACTAATATTTGGAGCAGTGATTGTGGTGATTGAAGAAACTTCGAGAGAGTTTATTTTATTTGGGAATGAACATATGAAACCTGTCTTACTTGAAAGAATCATGAACTAGTGAAGCTCATGCTGAAAATGTCTTCTAAATGTCTTTTACTTTCAAAAATGTTCGTTTTTCGTCAATCTAATTTGATTTTTTGACACCTGTCAACAGCATTCCACATCATTCCTTGTAGTGCGACGGAATGGAAAGTAGCAACCGGAATCGGAAAAGTTGCAAATAAAACGACACATCAAACTGATTCCGGTGGCAGAATCGGATAAATAAAACGCAACTTATATTCATAGGTATCAGGAAATTAGGAATTCAGACATCTTCTCACTAAATCCTAGACATTGCTGCCTCCCAGCTTTGACAATTCATTTATCTGATAAAATAAAGCACATTATGAAGTTCAATTTGAAATTAAGAGAGTATCTTGTTGATGAACTTACAGTAGATGTGAAGTTCATCTAGTCCTTTGAATTTCAACATCATTGAGTTGCTCATCGTTATTATATATAGGAAAGAAATGGAATATTGAAGACATGGAGATATTCTCATTATCCTTCTCTGTTGCTGAATATTTCATTTTCTTGAGTTGTTGCAACTGTTCTAGCATCTGAAATGAATATTTGTCATTAGGTTGGATTATGTAGGGACTCATTCCCCATTTCATACCATATTTGTGCAGTTAGCAACAAGAACATGTTGAAATATCTGAAACAAAGAAGATGAAATTGTATGAGTGAATCTAGTGGGGCTTGTAACTTAACTACCCAATACCAACAGTCAGCTCTGCTGCTAATGAAACTGCTTTGTCATCCTCTCATGTGGAGTCAGAATCATTACAATAAACAAATTTTTCATTTTCTATGAAGGTAGACGGTAAACTCGTTTGTGATTGTGAACTTTGAAATTGAAAAAATCCACACTGCTTTCTACAGACTTGCTACCAAAATTATCACACAACATACTGGGAACAGATTGGCGAGGAAGCAAAGCAAGACTAGATACACATGCTGTACTCGATTACATGACGCCTGCACGTCTCTTCATGCCCTTTTGTACATTTTGTGCAAAACTATCTTTTTCGCGACCTTCCTCTCCATGCTTACCTGGTGATTATTAGAACACCGTAATGAATCACACAACCAGCTATTAATGTCTATTATTGTCTATACTCATCACTCAAGTTTGCAAAAACTTTCCACAGCTTGCCATTAACAATAAAGTTCACAATAATCACAATTAACAATAACAAGGGAAATACCCAAATACCGAAATAAAATAACCTCCAAATGTCAATCGTATAACTGCCATTGACACCAACTATCGAAAATCAGTGAGGCCTACCGCATTTGGCCCTGACTGAAGAGCACGAATTCAATCCGACCTGAAACGGAGCATAGTGCCATAAAGGATGCAATACCACAAATAATCCGTGTGGTGACGATTGCTTACTTTTCCATTTCTTCGAAGTGATTAATCGTTAATCGAAAAATAATACTGTGAAGGCATTCACTGTTGGTTCCGATAGTGATTCGCTGTTTCAATTATGTTTTTTTCAGGATTTGCTGGACATTTTCCGAAAACTTGTTCCCGCACGGACTATTTGTTGCCTTTTTGTGTCCTGTCTCTAGATGGTTCATTTCAGGTCAGATTGAATCCGTGTGTGACTGGTCTTTTTCCTCATTTGGTTATTTCGTTTTCAAAGCTAAAATAGCTATTGAACACATACTTCCAGGGCAAACAACCAAAAATCGCGCAAAATATGTGTCTGAATTCTAAATTAAATTATGCGTGAATACACGGATATCCATGGGATATCCATTGGATCTTCATGAATGAATATCCATCTGATGTACATGCATGGATATCCATAAGATGTCCATAAATGGACCTCTATGATACCAACCTCAAAATGGACGTCCATTGGACCTTTTCCAGTCCATGTCCATGTGGACCAAATATGGACCTTCAATGGATGTCCATCGGATATCCTGTGTTTACTGGGACTCCTGACAAGCTTATGTTGGGCAGAGGGAGATCGGCTTTTCTAGAGAAAGTTATCCAACTTATTGGATCTCCATCCGAGAATTGTTGCCAAGTCCATTTTCATGTTCTAGACATTTCTCCATTTGTTTGTTTATAATTTGCCTGGCTAGAATTGAAGCCCTGGAAGAGAAGGCGGTATGGAGGGTACTATCATCCGCGAAGCTGTGTACTGGACACGAAGTTGCTTCCAACAAATCGTTTTGATATGGAGTAGAAATAGTGTTGGTGCTAGAATTGGTCCTTGTGGAACACCAGCATGTATGATAAGAGAGTCAGATGAAACTCCGTCGACCACTACATGGAGAGACCTGTTTGAGAGAAAACTAGCTAGCAGAGAACACAGCTGGGGAGGCAAGCCATAAGATGGAAGCTTGGCGAGGAGTCCGTGGTGCCAGACTCGATCGAATGCCTTGGAGATATGAAATGCCACCATATTTTTCAATAGATTGCTGCCATATATGATAATATGTGTGAGACGTAAGCGAGCAGGTCACCAGTTGATCTCTGATGACGGAAGCCATACTGCCTATCGTTGAGAATGTTTCAGGTATTTCTTGAGCTCCATGTTGTTAGCTTTGATAGGTCAGTAGGTATGATAGATGCACCTTTTGTATGTGAGCGTTACTGCTACACCACTGGATTTTTGGTAACGCTGGTTCTACTAGTGACCAAGTATGGATAGTTTTGTCCAATTATACGATTACTTGAGGACATTTTTGTGGACAGGAACAGTGAGTTAGTTAGAAAGATAGTCTTGCGTAATTTTTCCACCAATATTGAATCTAACATCAGAGGTAGGATTCGAACACTAGAGAAGTATTAGTGCAAGTATTTGCTGATACGCTGAAGGAACACACTCACAGGTCACAAAATGGTCACAAAGATGTCCTATTAGGATTTCATTGTGAATTATTCAGTTAACGTCGATTAGATGTAGTTTGATGAATGTCCCTGGCACATTACATATTTTCCTGGTTGTGATGTAACCTTGTGACTTTGATATCAAATCTACGTCGATTAGATACGTCAACAAGATATTGCATTCATGTGAGGTTGACATCACACTGATGTTGATGTCAATTATTGTTTCAATTAATATGATTTTTTAATCGTCTTACTGCGGCGATATGAACTGTATTGTTTTGCCATTGCACATAAGTTTTACTTCAAGAGACAGTTCCATTTTAAGATGCGCACCCTGTACGTCATTTGGACTCACCTGTGTATTTCGGAGTCGATTATTTTCGAACTTCATGAACACCAGAGGCGCAAGTTTCTCCAACACGATGTTCCTCAGAATCCCTGGCACTGCATCGCCTCTAACACCCCTATGATAGATATTGAGTGTTACCACGGATAGGCCTGAAGCGAAAGACACCAAACAAATGCTGACTCCGTAATACATACCTGAAAATAAAGGTGTTGAATAACTGTAGGAGTGGTGAGAACAACGTGCAGTTGCAGACAACCAAGTATTTAACACGTTGTTCAGACGTTCTATATTATTTGTTCCAATATCATAGCTTTGTGTCAATGCAGAACAGATAATTATGAATAATTAAACGTTATTCTACGAAGGGTAGAAGGGCCAACAACTTTATTTTTATGGAATTGCCACTTCGAAGTGGCAATTGTCACTTTGAACTGGCAATTGTCACTTTGAAGTGACAATTGTCACTTTGAACTGGCAATTGCCACTTTGAACTGGCAATTGCCACTTTGAACTGGCAATTGCCACTTTGAACTGGCAATTGCCACTTTGAACTGACAATTGCCACTTTGAACTGGCAATTGTAATTCAGAGATCTGAATATCTCGAAAACTGAAATAAAATCTTGAAACTTCAACGCTCTGTAGATCGGTAATGAAGCTTTTGCGGACACATGTTCATAGAAAAAAGTCTTATTTTGACCTGAAAAATTAGCCTCCGAAATCTTGATACTGAATTTTTACTTACTCTTACAAACTTACCCCAGTACAAAGTTGCTTAGTTTGGGCGTTAGACGGCTCTGAAGTTACAATTTTCAAATCGTTTTTGCTTCATAACTTTGGAACGGTTCATGAAATTTCACTCAAATTTGATACGTTGGCATTGCTTCATCGGGCAATAAAACCCATATCATGATTATGATAAATATCATTCCATAGGCGTAAAACTTGATTTTTTCCGTAAAAAAACATCAAAAACTTCTACGCCAATGGAAAGAAAGAAAGTTTGTGTATGAAATTTGGATTGCGTAGCATTTTTACTACAGAAAATTTACTCTTGATGAAATTCGGATACTCTCATGATTTCGAAAAAATTCAAATTTTTGTAATTCAAAGCACCAAAACTTTCAACAGATATATCATAAAAATTGTCCGAAATTGTCATCATTTTCACGTATACGGTTGAAATACGTACGTATACGACGAAATAGATTGAAATGTGCTATCAGCTATTTTTTGTTGTTTTTTACATTTTGAACACTTTTTATGAAATATTGTTAATCGTTTAGGTGTTGACTGATGTTTTGAATTAATAAAATTTTAATTTTGTCGAAACTATGGCAGTAATCGAATTCTATCAAGAGTATCTTTTTTGTAGTGAACAAGTTACGCAATCCAAATTTCTTACACAAACCAGTTTCTTCCCATTGGCGTAGAAGTTTTAGATGTTTTTTACGGAAAAAATCAAGTTCTACGCCCATGGAATGATATTCATCATAATCATGATATGGATTTTATTGCCCGATGAAGCTATGCCAACGCATAAAATTTGAGTGAAATTTCATGAACCGTTCCAAAGTTATGAAGCAAAAACGATTTGAAAATTGTAACTTCAGAGCCGTCTAGCGCCCAAACTAAGCAACTTTGTACTGTAAACAACATTTGAGTTTTTAGTTATTGCGTTTGAAATGACGTAAATGTCACTTATTCTTTCACATAAATTATTCAAAATGGCGCTCAGCCGCCATTTCCAAACTTTGAGTTGTCGTAGGTTTTTATCTCCTACTTGAGCGATGTACCAAATGGCTCGAAAATTAGTAGTGGTAAACGGACTTAAGACTGACCTGTATATTGAGTATTTATAGCCGTTTAACATGTTCTTTTTTATTACCAGAACCAAAAAGCCATTACCCCTAATCCCCCCCAAAGAAAAAAAAACTATTGACGCCCTATGGTGAAATGTTGGCAGAATAGTTATCCATTTAACTTCAAAAGCAGTATAAAAATGGTGAAGGCTTATTACAAAACGATTTGCGATTTATATAAGCTGATGACTAATCCATCCGAATTTCAGCTTCCTTTTGAATATCCGCTTTCTCGTTCCGAACATTATCACGATATAATGTGTTCTATCAAAGGGCGTAGATATATCATTTTCCTATAGGTATGGGGATTATATGAAACTGAAACATATTATATTCTTGTTTGGATATTTTCCCTAAAGAACTCCACTCCACTGACTGTTCTTTTTCATTGTTCATTCCTAATCGTCACATTAATGCTCCCAATTATACAGGGTGGGGAAGCACATACGACACATAGTTTCTATGAAAAACCATGGAATATTCCGGTTGGCTGGATGTAGAATATTTGTATGCGCGATTTAAGATTATTATGAGTTAAACAGGGTTGTAGGAAAAAAGATACCTTGCATATAATTGCATTTTCAGATTTTTCCTGAAGAGCTGATTTCATCAATACATCACATGCACTTTGGGGTCTACCGGTGACGATTACAGAAATATAGATTTTTGAAGTCTGGATTTTATGTGTCAAAACTATTGATTATTGGTCAAAACGGCTCACATGTCCCTATCTCAACTTTTGATTCACTATATCTACTCATATTCAATTGGAACAGATACACGGTGGTTCAAGATTCAGAATTCTGATCACCCTGTATCTGTTCCAATTATATATCAGTGAATAGTAATTCAAAAGTCAGGACAGGGACATGAAATCCGTTTTGACCTTAAATGAATAGTTTCGACACAAAACAATCCTAAAGATGATGAAATCAGCTCTCCAGGGAGAATCTAAAATACAAGGAAATTCGGGGTGTTTAATTAAAAAAAAACATAACTTTGATAGGAAATTATATATTTCCCAACACCATGTAGAACTCATAATAATTTTAAATCGCGCATATAGAGATTCTACATCCAGTCAACCGGAAACAATCCGTGATATTCAATGTTATTCCATATAAACTCCGTGCCCCACCCTGTATATAGTATTTTTCCATAATGTGCTCTCAATGTATCTTATTTGTGATTTCCTTTCAAGGTTGGAAATTCTTTGCTACGATGTACTGATGATATATAATTTATATAAATATTGATGTTTAATTACATATTAGATCATTTGGTAATTTTCACCAGTTGGTAATTAACAAATCGATCGCATTCTGATAATTTGTGAATTTCTTGGCTCAAATAATGTTCCCTCCAGACTGATGGCGGGTATATACAGATTTCCGTTGGGAAAAGGTTGTGATATTTTTAGGGTTTCAAAAACTATCTTGAGTAGATCGTTCATGATTCAAGAATACGAATTGAATGTACCGCAGGAAACATTTTGAACCTAGGCGAAACATTCCTTTTGCAAACATATTTTATTGATAGAAGGGTTCACCATATATTTATAATTTTTATTTAGTGAAATAACATTCATATTTTTCGAAATTCCATTATTCAAGAAAAAGAAAAGAAAAAGGGAAAGAGATTGGATTCGTTTGCAATCATAAATGAAATATAATAATAGAAATAATAGTTTTTTTTATATCGCTACTTTGAAGTTGGGAACCAATTCCCTAGAAGCGGGACGAACCGAGAGAGAATTTTGGGAAGGGCAGGAAGTACATTTTGCCAATTCATTTTTAAATTTTCCAATTTCCGTTTTGGACAAAAAATTAATAATTTGAAGGGCGACACGGTTGTCTTGTGTTGTCTTTTCATGCATTTACAATATGATAGGTATTTTCTCATCTGTAGGAAATTTCTAAATTCCGAGTATTCACTGGGAATACTCTGGGATATAAGAAATTTTATTTTCAATGAGCTACGAGTAGCAAATTCAGAGTATTCAGTTGGAAATTCTGGCTTTGTTCAGACTATTTAATTTTCAGATTGAAAACCTGTAACTGGGAATTTTATTTTTCCGAATTGAAACTTGGTATGTCCAACTCGTTTTGTTGATCCAGGCTACCTTTCTCTACATATAATCATCAATACTACCAACCTTGTGTGGGGTTAGGAAAATCTGGACCTATATAGCACTAGTGACATCACCTCTGCATTGTGAAAGGCTATCCAACAAATTTTAGCGCCTTAGACAGCTCGGATAAAGTGGTGCATGGGTATAGATTTCAAGAGTCATAAATCAGGTGCAATAAACATTGTTGAATGTATAGAAAAACAACCCTCCCACTTCTCTCAAACGAAACTGCAAAGATTCTCCTGCCCATATAGAATAGGTTGATAGGAGAGTTCTGCCTATAACATGACATACTTGATATCCATGATTCCATCGTTGTGAATATTGTTCAGAATTGTAAGTATCCAGTGTATTAATCCAGATAAGATGAAAATTTGTGAACACGTGTTGATGATTTGAAGCTGTGTTAGTCTCTGATGCTAGGATGATCATTATTTTCCATTTTCTGGATGGATTCGAATATTTATCCTACATTGGATAACTATGTTATGTTTTTGGCATTTGATGCATTCAGTGTAAGATTACACACAACTCATCAGGGTGAGATGACCTATTTGAAGTCGACAGTAACGACGATGAAGATGCAGGTTGCCACTATTGTAACTAACTCATTATTCTGGAAATCCAGAAGTAGAGAAAAATGGTTGAAAAATATCAAATGTAAACAGTTGACCAACTGTGAGTGTGCCGATTTTCCAGCACGGCGAAAAATCTTCATTTGTGAAGTTTGCCGTTAATCTTCGGTTTTCTTAATTTTCCAGCTATTTCAATGAATTAGTCCTATTTTCTCTTCGAATAAATGATTAATCTAAAACTTCATCATGTTTTTGCTCATCATCTACAAGTATGTCATTTCACCCATATACAGGGTATATAGAAATTCGACTGACGACGCTTGACAGGTGATATCCCTCGTGGGGTGGCGGAAATTTGATCGAAACACAAATGATAGAAAAACATTTGATAGAAGTCTTTTGATCGAAAGTTTTTTGATAGAAATGAATTTGATCGAATGTTTTATGATAGAAAATACATTTGATAGAAACATAATTGATAGAAAATACAATTGATAAGAAAAATATTTGATAGAAAATACACTTGATAGAAACAGCATTCGATAGAAAATTCAACGGGGCTACGTTCAAGTTAGGTCAGTACGTTTGTGAAGATATGATTCTTCTTCATATATTTGAGATGAAGGA